TTAGCCCTCAGGTGTTTAAAGTGAGAATTTATGTACCTAAATGCTGATTTGAGCACTTAAATGCATCATATGGACATCCTGCTTACATGCCCATGTTAGAAAATTTGGCTCGGTTTAGGCAAATGGCGTTATTGGGCACTCGGTTGCATAGCTCAAACACCCCTTTGTTTGTTATAACCTGCTTTTATTAAGAGAAGGAATGTTGATTAGGATTTTGGAGGGTTATCCAGTTTTTGAAAAAGTGCTACCAGAGATGACCAGAAGGGACTTTAGTTTAATACTTCCTCTTAGCTAGCCTCTCTAACAAGATAACATCCCTGAGTACTATATTGTCAGCAGTGGGTACAGTATCCTGGCATGATGCCTTTTAACCAAGAGGCCAGAGTGCTACCTAGTGATAACATCTGGGTAGAAAACCAGTGGGGACTGTGCTAATAGCTAATTTATGTAACTGGTATCTCATTTCTGTTATCCTTGTCCATCCTCCCTCCTTCCCTTCTGCTATTACACTGACTTTTTGCACCTCATCTTGAATTACATTGTGAACTCTTTTGGGCAGGGGTCATGTCTCATACAGTGGGGCCCTGATCCTGACTGTGCTGTTGGGCACCATCACAATTTGATAATAATGAGCCGTAATAGCATAGGTGAGTAGCAGAGTCTTCAGGGGCTTGATCATCTCCTTGCATGTGGGCATATAACTCCCATTGACTTCTATGAGGTTTTGGGGGTGAGTGCACGTCTTCCATGATGATAGGCCCCAGATCTTTACACTGTTCAGTGCTCATGTTTTGAAGAGAAGGCATGGAAGCAATATGTTCGAGGGGAAAAAATAAATTTCACGGTGTCTCTCTCTGTATAATTAGAGAGGAATGAAAGACCAAAATGGTACATTTTTGTAATTCCAGTATACTAAAATATCAACTATAGCCTTCAAATTAAGACAACAATAGAAGGAATAACATCTGTTCAGGATTTTTTAAATATATTAGCGTTAAAATTTAGGAAACATCTACTACGGAGATTGCTTCTATATCCTTATAAGCTATTTATCTGACCAACTCTTGCTGTATAATTCTTAATAATTTAAAAGAAAAAATCAGATTAAAACTTGGAATAATTGGGAAATTGGCAGAAAAGGTTAGAGAGTCCTTTAATTTTAAATGATATCTGCTTAGGGTGGGTTGGGTTAGAAAAAAATTGGTTTTCTACTACTGAAAGAAAAACAATTTTCTTTCTCTTTTTAACAGTTAATAAGCAAAGACAAATAGCAAAAAAACATTCCTTGGTAAGTCAAGTGAATTTCAGGAAGCCAGGCCTACTCTGTCAAATCTTATTAAAGAGATTCTCTAGCTATATTATAAATTGGTGCCATATATACTCTAATGAAGGGATTATATTAGGGCTATGTGCGCTTGAGCAGGAATTAGAGCCTTGCATTGAGAGATACATCTGGAACAAAGAGGATTTTAATCAGGATACATTATTAATGAATTGCATATGAGATACATAAACCCTGCTTTATTAGGCAAACTGTAAATGAGCTTATTTGGTAAGAGCATGCAAAATGTGTGTGTTAAGAGAGGATATTTTGAGAATTTAACTCATCTCTATATAGTAAAGGCATCTGGCTGTAATTGGTGCCTGTGGCAATTGTTGATACCCTGATTATATTAGCTTTCCATGCCCTTTAGCAGGATTGGGAAAACATTTCTAGTACTCGTTAAGTTGTCTATTATCAAGACATCATAAATATACACATTTAGAATAGATGATTTGCTATCCCATTGCCTTAGAGCGCTTAAATAAATTAGTTCCTACTGTTGCAAGCATTAATGTTGAAGTAATAATTATGCATAAAGCAATAAAATGCAATTAAAATTGCCTTCAAACTTACTGGAGTGGAACATTTTCTGAAAATGTCACTTGCTCTTTTCTTAAAATACATTCTAAAGCCAAGTGGATAGACAGTGTGGCTCAGGATATTGGTAATGGAATATTGAGCTTTTCCCCTTTAGATCACCAGCTTGCATCAAGCTCAAATCAGTTGTCACATCTGTCAGCTATTCAGTGACCTCTACAATGAGGTGGTTGTCTGACTTCGTAGTGTGCAAGTGCCCACGTACAGTTAGCACTGATTTTTCAAAAATGAGGGTCATTACATATAAAGAATGCAACCACACTTAAATGCCGAAACTATGGACTGTGTCTCTGTCTTTAAAATGCTCCATTTTTCCAAACGTGCTCCATTTTTGGATACTGCGGAAGATAGTACATAATATTACCTAGAGATCTCAGATCTCTGCAGTATTAACCATAATAAAGTAAGGTAATAATAGTGTGTCAGCCTGGATTTTCAGTCTTAGTTTTCAGTCATGAATTTCCTTGCACTGAAGTCAGACTTCATATGTTCCCTGGACATATTTTTTTTATAGCTGAATTATAAATAAGGTGTTCCAACTGTTTTGGCAGTCAGGCAATAGTTAAATTGAAAAGAATGTTTCTTTTCCAGAAAAGCCATTTAATAACATTCGGTCCATTTGCTCCTAGCAAGACTATACTCAAGCAGTGCAAACCCCAGGAGCTTGGCAAGCCAGGCAGACTTGGCAAGTTTTCCTAGCGACTCACCAAGTCTGAGTCAAGCATGGGTACTTGTGGCTTGCACAGCTTCAATTGTATTTAGTATTTCTTGTTAATAAGAACATTAAGACAGAGGATTTTTTTCCATAACCTCAAAAAGTAATACATAGTCTGTAAAAACAAATAGTATTTAACAAACTACACATGACAATTTATGGCTTATGTCAGCTTCATAATAAATATATTTGTATATTATTTTACACTGAGACTCCATGATTTGTGTTCCTTGACATTAAGATATTAAGGAAATAGACCATGGATTCTTGTTGTGTTGATTGGCATTTGCTAGTGTGAAACCCTGCAAAAGACAAGCATAACCATTATTTTATAGTGTGTCATAGCCATACAACTCCATCTCATGTATAGAAAGAGTGTAATGCAAGTAAGCTTGTGTAAGCATTGAAAATACAGCATGTTCTCATTTTGCTTCAGTTTTACCTGTATGGATCCTGCTAAAAGGAAAACTGTCAAGTTTGGATTTTAAAGTACCAAAATATTTTTTTTAAATCTGTGTTTTTGTTCGTTCTTGCCCATCTAAATAGAATTTCCTTTGAAACAAGTGCATTTGATTATCCAACATATGATTATTTCAATAAAAGATACTTGAGGTTTCAGAAGATTTTGATTTTTCCTCTAAAATGTCTAGCGCCTGTAACTTATAACATTTAGTCCGAGAAACTTAATAAAATGCTACAAATGTTATTTGTATAGCGAAGTCAGAGACAAACTTTTCAAGGGGAAGATGTTTGAAAGAGTCAGAAACATCTCACCTCAATTTTCTACTAAGTTGTCTAACTAATCAGTGATACTACGTAATCCTTCCAGTGAGGATTTTAAAAAGTCTTGCATGGACCAGTATTGTTAGGTAAGAAGCAGTTAGTAATAGAGGTCAGGTGCTTGTCTTCTAAATGGAAAATCTGTTACTTTTTGTTTGTCTGTCTGTCTATCCTATATTGGTCCTCATGGTATTGTAGTATCTTGCAAGTTAAATATTTCACAGGATTTTATGTTTTCCTTCCTCCACTTGTTGGTAAGAATTTTTTTATTGTGGGAAATCTAAATCAAACAAATGAGCTATGTATTTTTTCCCCGCAAGAAGCGAGTGCCTTAGTCATAGGCCAGCTGCAGAGAAAGCCCTGTCTGTCATTTGCACAGGGGGCTGACATTTCCATTTTTTCCAAAGGACTGTAGTTGTCATGGGAGGTTATGGTCTCAGAGACAATGATGATTCCTTAAGTAGCCTGGGCTAATGTCATGGAGAGCTTCCAGTCTTGTTACCAAAGCCTTGAAGTTGACTCTGTTAATTGGGGTTCCAGAGAACTGAGCAGAGCACTGGGATGCTTGTGTTGCTGAGTAGACAGATGAACTGCTGTATTCTGAACTTTGAACTGTAGAAAAGGAACCTGGATCCCCACTGCCAAAGATCTGGGAATATGTTTCAGAAAATTAGCTGTATTTGTTTCATCTCAAGAGAAGAGGTTCTCAGACTTTCTCCACCTGAGACGCCCGAATCAGCTATGATTTCTTGTTGGAAATACAGTCTCAATCTTTTTGCAATTCTACCCACAGTCCTTTAGTCACGAAAGCAGTGGGTGGGTTCTGATGCTGGGATGCTCTTGGAGAGGCAGGTTTCTGCTGCTTTTGTGTATGGTGGGTTCTCAATGTGAGGCCAGGAGAGTATTGGCTAGTGGAAGCCCTGATGGAATGGAGGTGTTGCTTATGGAAATTAGAGAATTTGAATGCTTCTTCATCTCTCTTTTTCTTTTTTCTCCCCCCTTACCTGCTCTGTGCATTGCACCTGGGATATGTACTTAAACATGTCAAGAAGCTGGTTGAGCAATGTGAGAAGTAAGGTCAAGGAAGCTGGCTTCTCACCATTTTTAAGCAGAACTTGCAAGGCAACATAGCATTCTGGTTGCAATAGTTTCTAAGACTTTCCTAGAATTACAGTGGTGCTGTTTTTATCCAGATAGTGTCAAATGGGACATTACAGACTTCAGAACGTGTTTACCAAGCTAGCTACCAACCAGGATAGCTATTAACTTTGCACACATTAACAATTTGTCGGTAGTCTATAAATAGTTTTAGGGATCTTTTTTTTTAGTGCAATGATGCAAATACTACAAATTGCTCCATCACCTTAGTTACCTAACTTAAATAAGCAGTTCTGTAGCACTATTTAAAATGCAGGACTTTAAAAGAAACAACTGTGGGACACTGCTGATAATTATTTTTAGAGCACAGTAAGCAGCTGTCTTCAGATGGTGGTCCACATTCCACACCCTTCTCTCCTGTTCAATATATGGAAACATTCAGCGCAATATTGATCTAAAGTTTTGTGTAACTTTCTTCTGTTTCAGCTTTGGTTTGCATTTGTTAATGGATTTTCTGGGCAGATTTTATTTGAGCGATGGTGCATCGGCCTATACAATGTGGTAAGTATTCCATGTCTCGGCTTGATGGTATGCAGAACCTCAGTGACATTCCATTGTTGTTTATGTCTGTGCAGTTTATCTCAGCCATCCATCTGCATACATATCATGAAGTACAAACACATTTTTAGGGCCTTTGTTGATCTGCCCTAGACTGTAGATGCGAAAGATCCTGGATGTTTATTTTAATCACAGCAAATGTATTTGGAATAGTGCCTTGAAAATATTAGCACTTTTATCTTAATAATATGCTTTCATTAGATCTCTGTATGTTTATGCAATTCAAATTGTTCAAAGTATTTCAAACTATTTTTTATATTTAAACATTTTTATTTTTCTTCTTTTTTCCTAGTCAACATAAATATATATTTGTCTTGTATCATGTTTTTGGACATTTTGTCCTTCATTCATTATTGTATTATGGTAGCTTCTAAAGCCCCTTATCATTTTCATCCATGGGAGGCCATTTTTAGGCATTTATCTTCCACAATTAATACTAAAGATTTATTCTGTTCCCTGGTTTTATAGAAACTTGGTCTATCAATTCACTGACATCTGCTAGTGACATTATTAGTTACATCTAGTCTGGTGCCTGGATCCACAAAGCTTGACTAAGGCAACTGGGAAACTGCAGGGACTTTTGCCAACACGTGTGAAATTTCCCCATTGTGTGTTGAGTTTTTTTGGAAATCTTTGGGATTTTTTAAAACAAATTTACTCCAAATATGTGAAAACACCAAAAGTCATCAAATAAACTGTTTATATCATTAATGAATAGTTTTACGTAAAGTTTACTTTTTGTTTGACCAGGACTTGTTTCAAAATTTAAAAATTATAATCCCACACAACCCAGTGTCAAATAAAAGGAGATTTTAGGCCAGAGATTTTACATTCTCTCAGTTCTTTGCATCACCCTCACTAAGAGATCTTGAAGTTTTCCTAAAGCACCCCACTCCATCTCTTCAATTCACATATTTGCATCTATAAATCTTTTAACATGATTTCTTTTCAGATTAATCCAACTACCCTGAATTAAAGCACTTTAACTGGCTACTGCTGCTGAAAGCAATGAAGAAGTAGTGAACCATGTTGCCTTTAATTACTGTTATTAGGTCTCAGAATTAACATTTTGGTTAGTTCTCTTCAGATGAATGGCAGTTCAGTCTAATCCTAAAGCTATTGTTTCATTATGTCTATATATTCCAGGGTCACTAAAGACCGAATCCTGCAGAGTGCTGGAGGCACTCAATAACTCAAAGGGATTAGGCTTTAGGATATCACTGTGTGGCCCCATTCTGCTACTCGCACCAATGCTGAATAATCCTTTACTTCTTCATAAGTAGTCAGGGGTGCTGCTGGAACAATTTGTATAGTGGGGGTGCTGAGAGCCATGGAACCAAACAATAAACCCTGGATATAATGGAAACCACTTCAAGCCAGGGGTGCGGCAGCACCCCCACCTCCCCTAGTTCCAGCCCCTATGTAAGTAATCCCATTACAGTGTTACTTAGTGTGGGTAAGGTTGGTAGAACCAGAATTCAGGCCTTGCATAGGTTTGCCTTCGAAGGTTACCTTCATAACCAGATGGGCTAAAAGATCTTTTTTTAAAGTGAAAACGTAAATACTGCAGAAAACTTGGGAAATACCAAAAATCCCTGAAGACACCCTAAATCCATCCTATAGCGTGGAATCTTCATGGAGCGCATTAGACTAGTGGCCTTAGTTTTGGCTCTCATATCCCATATGAGAGTGCTGCCATTGCAGCCATCTGGCCTGTTGCTTTATGACTAATTTAAAAGATTACATCATTCATGTAGAAAATGTGCTTGCAATTACTGATCCCCGCTAATATCCAGCCCTGTGTGGAAGTGAATCTTCACCTAAACTCTCCAGACATAGTATGCATTGCTGGCAGGAATCACAATCCAGCATACAAGCAAGAGATTTTGTAAAGATAATAAATAAAACTGCATCTAATCAGAGATTGTTAGCTGAACTGTAGAAAATTGGATTAGAAATTAATTTCCTAGCATGAAACTGTCAGTTTAGAAAATGGGTGAAGATGAAGGAGGGAGAGTATAGTTTTAGGCTACATTATAATAAAACTTTGAATTTATAGCGTCTTCCATCCAAGGCTCTCAGCACACATAGCAAATGAATTAAGTCTCCGAGGACCTGGGTAAAGTAGGTATGATTGTCACGATGGTACACAGGAGGAGGTTGAGGAACAGAGAAATTAAGGGCCCAATTCTGCAACACTTACCCACATTGAATAGCCGTTACTCATGGGAGTAATCCTTTTGACTTCAACAAAACTATTCACATGCCTGAGTGCTTTTCATTGTGAGTAAGGTTTGCCAGAATTAAGCCCAAAGTGACCTGCCCAAGGTGCTTCAGAGTCTCCCTCTTCCTTTCCTCCCCTCTGACACAGGCCAGGATCTGAAGGTACATGGCCCTAGCAATCCCTCTCCCTTCTCAGGACCACAATGTGGGGTTGAGCCATCCACAGTAGTTCTGGAGCTGAGTGTTCCTTTGAGAAGACCAAGCATCCTTCAAAAAGGAGAGGCCTAGCAGCAGTGCCCACAGCCACAGCTGTCAGTAGCACAAGGTGTTGGGGGTGGGTGCTAGCTGAGCCCATTTTACTCCCAGCCCCACAGAGCCAAAACTTTGGGGGCACATGCCCCCCAGAAACCCCTCCTCCTAGCAGCATCAGGAACCCCATAATGTCAGCATTTCTGGTCTATGAGCTGTTTCGTGGCATTGGGAGATTGGCTGTTGGGTGCAGGAGGTGTGGGTAAACGGGTAGGTAATTAACTGAGCAGGGGAATAGGATTTTCTCACTTCTTGTAGTTTACTGCTGCATGGACTCATCCCTGCCCCTGGATGCAGCAGGGAGAGTTGGATAACCCTTGAGGTCTTAGTGGTCTCTGAGCCCCACGTGCTGTCAAATTTATTTGATATTTTTTTGGTATGTTAAAGGTGCCTACAGCTTTTATATAGGAGGTTTTTTTTAATGATTTCTAGAAATTGAAATAAAAAAATGAAAATGTAAAAAGAAGGGGTCTGATGTCCTAAGGAGAATGGGGAGAGTTTGTAGTTTTTAAAAGGCACTAATAATGCTAGATAGAGGAGTAGTTGGGTTAGATTGTATAAAGCCCTTCAAAATAAATAAATCAAACAGTAGGCAAAATCTGGGTCACCTTTTTCAGCCAGAGTGGTGGTGGAAGCAAATATTAAGGGAGCTGCACAAGGGGCTGTGGCTTAATAGGGAATTTTTAGACGTGATCATTTAAAAACCTCAATACTTGAAATGCCTCAGAAGGATCAGGCGATGCACATTGTTAACCTAGGGAATTATGTGACCATGTTATTGTTATATTCATTCTCCCTCCCTGATTCCTACCTCCACTCACCTAAGCCTTGCCTTTAATTAGATTGTAAACCCTTTGGTGCATAAGAGACCATATCTAATCTTTCTATTTATATGCTCCCTATCACCATAGTGTATGAGCACTTCACAATCTTTAATGTATTTTTCCTCACAACACCTTGGTGAGGTACTATTTGTCAAAAACGAAATGTGGAGGGTTGGACCTAATGGTGGAAGCAGTGGCAGTCTGGTGTAGTGCTTGGTTTGGTGGCATCTGAGCCAGGATCCGAAGTCCGAGGTTGGACCTGGACTCAGGAGCGGGTTTGGAACAAAGCAAGAATAGGGTTGGAAGCTAGGCTGGAGCAAGAACAGGGTTGGAGCAAGTTAAGGCTTGTGGATGGAGTTTGTCATTACTATCAGACAGGGGAGAGTTCCAAGAATGAATTTAGCCTCTCCGTAACAGCCTTGTCTTTCTTGAGTGCTCCTTTAGCACCTCGGTCACCTCGTGGCCCCACTGAATGTTTGGCAGGCTTCCTGCTTCTGATGTACTTTAAAAAATGTTACTGTTAGTTTTAGTGTCTTTTGCCAGTTGTTCTTCAAATTCTTTTTTGGTCTGCCTAATTATAGTTTTACACTTGACTCGCCGGAGTTTGTTCCTTTCTATTTTCCTCACTAGGGTTTAACTTCAAAGGATATCTTTTTGTTTCTAACCACCTCTTTTACTCTGCTTAGTCAAGGTGGCATTTTTTTAGTCCTCTTACTTTTTTTGGCCGAATTTGTCTGTGTGCTTATGAATAGTTTGAGCCTCCAAAATGGTGGTATCCTCTTAATACCAGGCACTCAAGTTTACCCATCTTACTGTTTAGACTTCTTGTGTTTGTAGACAAGCACTTATAAAATTTGTCAGTATTTAGTTGTCTGCCTTTGTATGATGTAATTGAACGGGACTCTTTTTTGTTTGTCTGTTTCTCTTCAGTTCCTACCTGTACTTTATCAACCTCTGTCATCTCCTCTTTACCAGGATATAGAATATCCCCTTTAATAAATCCTCCCCTAAGGGATGTAGCTGTCCGAACTGTGTGCTCCTCTGCACCTGTCAGCTTTCTCCCAGCCCTTAGTTGAAAAACTCCTCTATGATCTTTTTAATTTTACATTTCAGCAGTTGAAAAACTCCTCTATGATCTTTTTAATTTAACATTTCAGCAATCTGGTTCCATTTTGGTTTAGGTGGAGCCCATCCTGGACTTGAGTTTCTTACCTATCAGCCTACATATGACCTCCAGGACTTCTCTCCTACTTTTCCCTATGTTACTGGAACCTACATGTACCATGATCATTGGCTCCTCCCCAGCACTGCATATAAGTCTATCTTGGTGTCTTGAGAGGTCTGCAACCTTCACACCCGGGAGACAATTCACCGTGCAGATCTTCCAGTCATCACAAACCAACTATCTACATGTCTAATAATCGAATCCCCCATTACTATTACCTGTCTCTTACTAATAACAGAGGTCCACTCCCCCAGAGAGGTATCCTCAGTGTGAGAGGATACCGTGACATCATCTGGAAAGAGGGTTCCAACTATGGAATTACTTTCCTCTGCTCCAGCTTGATGTTCTCCTTCCCCGAGACTTTCATCCTCCTCAACAGTATAGTTGGTCATTCGGTTTGGTCATTCAGGTACATCACTGGATGCAACAGGAACAATAGGTGACATTGATTGAGAAACTCCTGAAAGTCCCAGCAGAATTCAGATCTCTCTGCTAGTGGATCTTCAGGCCTAGGTCCTGGGCTATCGTGGCTAATGGTGAGAGGGGCCCAGGACTGCTGGGACATGAGTGCAGAAAGGTATTTTCCCATTATAGCTGGGCCACTGGTTCTGGTGGTTTGAACTAGCTCTGCCATCTCAATGGCAGAAGTGCCTGCAGATTTCATTTTGACTGTAAGGGGGCACTTACAGGCATAGAAAAACCATTTTGGCCACTGGGCCTGATAGCACAGTCTGCCCAAACTCAGAAACTGAGATGTGGAGGGTCAGGCCTAGTGGTTGGAGCAGAGGCAGTCTGGTCTAGTGGTTGGTGCAGTGTCAGCCAGGCCAGGAACCGGAACCATAGGTCAGAGCCAGACTCAGGAGTCAAGAGTGGATTAAGAACAAAGCAAAAGTAGTGCTAGGAGCAAGGCCGGAGCAAGGGCAGGGCTAGAGCAGGCTAAGGCATGTGCAATCAGTCACCACTTTCAGGCAGGGGAGAGTTCCAAGCCATGAAGTGATGTTGGGCAGACTGAGCTGCTGTTTCTCCCATGAGGCTTATATATCTGCCCTGAGAATCACCAGACTAGCTCCTGGCTTGTGGATTGGCTGAAGCCTAGCACAGGAATGACTCAGGGGAGATGATGGAGGCCTATAAAATCATGAATGGTATGGAGAAAGTGAATAAGGAATTATTTATCCCTTCACATAACACAAGAACCAGGGGTCACCCAATGAAATTAGTAGGCAGCAGGTTTAAAACAAACATAAGGAAGTACTTCTTCACACAACGCACAGTCAGCTGGTGGAACTTGTTGCCAGGGGATGTTGTAAAGCACAAGAGTATAACTGGGTTCAGAAAAGAATTAGATAAGTTAATGGAAGATAGGTTCATTAGTCACCATTAGTCAAGATGGTCAGGGACTCAAACCTCTGACTGCCAGAAGCTGGGACTGGACAACAAGGGGTGGATCACGTGATAAATTACCTTGTTCTGCTCACATCCTCTGAAGCACTTGGCACTGGCCACTGTTGAAACACAGGATCCTGGGCTAGATGGACCATTGGTCTGTCCCAGTGTGGCCATTCTAATGTGGCTTAATCAGGCTTTTGTTCAGGGATGACTCATCATCTCATACCATTGTCCCGTTTTAGAGTTGGAGAACTGAGGTGCAGAAATCTGAAGGGCGAGATTTGGAAAGGTATTTAGGAGCCTAAAGATGCAGATAGATGCCATGGTGGATTTTCAAAATCTCCTAGGTACCTAACTCCTGTTATCGGGAATTTAGCATTTTTAAAAATCCCACTAGGTGTCTAACTCCCAGTAGGAGTTAAGTCCCTAGGCATTTTTGAAAGCCCCACTGAGTGCCTATCCACATTTTTAGGTCATAGAATCATAGAGTTTAAGACCAGAAGGACCACCAGATCATTTAGTCTGACCTCCCTGGCCTAAATACCTTTAAATCTGATCCTATGTCTACACTGCAGTTCAACACTCATGACTGACTTGAGCTCACAAGACTCGGGCTATGGGACTGTTTAATTGTGGTGTAGATGTTCTGGTTTGGGCTGGAGCCTGGGCTCTGATACCCTCCCACCTCGTGGGGTCTCAGAGCCCAGGCTCCACCCCAAGCCAAAATGTCTGCACTGCAATTAAACAGCCCCGTAGCCTGATCCCCGTTAGCCCAAGTCAGCTGGCATGGGCCAGCCACAGATGCACTGTAGACATACCCTCAGTGACTTTCCCCAGATCACACAGAAATGTCTGTGGTGGATGAGAATCCTATGAGTTTGTGCCCTTCGTAGCACAAACAGGATCCTGATCCTGACTGGAGCCCTTGGGTTTTAATGCAATACAAATGATAATACGTCCATATTTATTTCATTCAGTGTAAACATTTTCTGTAGCTGCTATCAAAAAGTATATACGTGCAGAACAGTAATTACTAGACAAAGTTCTGAACTCCAAATATCTCATAAACAGATCTTTCCTCCAAAAACTCATGTGAAAAAGCAGAAACAAAATAGAAACAAAATGCTGGTCTCTGTTTCTTTCTCTAGATGTTCCTCTGACCTAGCAATATCACTTCTTTTTTGTCTGGATTCAGTCTGAGTTGGCATACTCCTATCAAGGTTCATGCCTCACTTAGACACCACAGAAGGCCAGAAATAACAGAATCTAGAATGTTCTTTATTTTTTAGAAGTTTTTGTCTGATTTCCACATTTACTTGCACTAATGTCTTTATAATCTTTGCTTTAGTAAAACAAATGAAATACTTTCCCGGCTCCAGTTGCAGCTATGTTTGAACCAACTTACCTCAAATCTTTTCCATAATGTACATGCCAGCCTTTCTTTTTCAGGCTTTAGATACATTTTAATGTAACTAGACTAGTTGTCTAATAATATGACATGAAATACTGATGCTCAGCTTATTAGTTAACAGCAAGAGTAAGAACTACCTTTTCTGGCTTCTTTTTGTCCTTAGGTTAAGTACAATCAATAATAAGAATTATGAATCACTGCATTTCAGGTTTTGGTTTGATTGAAAATTATGTCAAATTACACTCTTGGGATGAGATTCTGTCCCGACTGAACTCAATGGGAGTTTTGCCATTGACTTCAGTGGCACCAGGATTTCACCCTAGATCTCAAACATTATCTTGGACCTACTTATAAAGTTAATAGGTGTTTTTTAATTAGTGTTTGTTTTCTTTGTAGATTTTCACAGCATTGCCACCCTTCACTCTGGGAATCTTTGAACGATCATGTACTCAAGACAGCATGCTTAGATTTCCCCAGCTCTACAAAATTACTCAAAATGCAGATGGGTTCAACACGAGGGTAACGGGAAATGTTTTATTTTTTAAAAAAATTAAAAGAAAAATACTAGCATTATATTTTTAAGTCTTGTTTTTTTCAGTCTTAAAGGCCTCATTCAGTTTTATGCCAGCATAACTCCCTTGAAATCAGGGTTGTCCTTGCTTCCTAAAATGTTGTGTTCTTTTGAAAATAATTTGCTGTTTCTGACTAGAAGAATACTGACTAGAAGAGAGGCCAGAACTAGAATGATAGGCCTGAAGTCCATCCAAATTTTGGGGACGTTCAGATTAGGGCCCATAACTGAATATGAATTTTGCAACTCATAGCTGACTCTACCTAGCAATATATGGCCTGACTGCTTCTTTCAGAGAAGCTGGATGAGCTGTGCCTGGTTTTTGAGTTTCATATTGAAATGCTGCCATAATCCTACCTACCAGCCTTGCTAAATCTCTTTTTAAAGTTTTTCTTAAGTTAGGATGATTTTATTCTTCCTGTCATTGCAGAGGGTTAAGAATTTTGCAGATAAAGTTACACTCTTGTATTTTCTTTTAATATTTTGGAGAATATCCTACACTTTCTGTTTCGTTGATTTACTGACCTCTTTGTGCTAAGAAATTTCACCATTTGATGTTCTGGGGGTTTTTTAATGAGTAATTAAATATACTCTTGAAACAAAGCAAGGTCCTAGGTTTGTTTTGTCAGAGGGATTCTAAGATTTCAAAGAACAAAATTGCAGAATATGCAAACCTCTGACATATGAGAAACATAAGACTTTTAAATGGGACATTGTGGGGTACAAAAAGTACTTTTCTCCATTAAAAGAAAATAAAGTAACTGTTTCATTGCATTAATAGTCCTGTCTATCATCATGATAATTTGAGCAATTAAACAAAGGTGAATCCACCTGCTCATATTCTGATGAAGATTTTTGGGGGTAGTATCTTTGCCCTAGTATAATCTGACATACTGTATTTAAAAAATCCTTCAATTGAAGCAGAGTTGTCTGGTGGTAGCACAGAAATTACATAAAAAGTGGATGAGGAAATATATTTCAGAAAAGTTCAAGTATTGCAGTTTAGGAGAAACATTACACTCTGCCAGTAAATTTCACAATGAAGTATTTGTTGGGAGTTAGAGAGAGATCAAGATTTTTGGCGGACTCCTGACTTGCTTGGTTTGTTTTCCCTCAGGTTTTCTGGGGTCACTGCATCAACGCCTTGATCCACTCCATCATTCTTTTCTGGTTTCCACTGAAAGTGCTGGAACATGGTAACTGCTTCATTATTTCAAATGTCAGCAAGTAGCGTTCAGTCGTCCCAGTGCCAATGTGTTTGCAGAGCTGGAGGTCACAACTGGTTCTAAGAAAACTAATGATGATAGACAGTCGGACCGGTTATAGCTTCTAGCCTTGACCATTTATCAACGCTGACCTTTGGAAGCCACTCTTCTTGCATTTGACATGGATATCTTCCATATAGTGACTTCCATACGTAATTTTTAGTAAGCCTCTTTCAGTCACACACTTATGTCTTCTGAAGGTTCTGAAATAAAACATGGGTTCAGGCACACACACAAAATCTTCAGTTTTCTTTCCTTTTCAAATATTTTCATTCCTCATATCACATACTTGTACAGTGTTCATATAGTGAGTTTTATATCTTTACAATAGGGAAACCTTTTGCTTTATATTTGTTGGGCCTTTTAAATTCTACAATAGTCTCTTCCCAAATTGCCTACAAAATGCAGGATAATTCCAAGAGTGACCCAACCAACTCCCACTGAAGTCAATGGAAGGGCTTCTGTTCACTTAAGTGGAAGCTGGATCAGGTTCAGAGTTAGAAAAATTAGGAAAACAGAATTTGCCCTATCAAATGAGACAGTGACATCCTCAAGTCTGGTATCCTGCAGCTGCCAATGGCAATTGCTTGGTACTTTACAGAAAGACAAGAAATCCCACCCTGTACCCAGCCAGAATGTACATAGCATTACTCCTGGGGGAATTCTGCGCCACTGCGCATGCACAGAATTTATGTCCCCCATAGATTTCTTTTCTTCCCCGCAGAAAAATGACTTTCTGACAGGGAAGCAAAAGGAAGCCACAAGAGTGGTCAGACGACCCTCCCCTGCAGTATGTTTCCGGTGCCCAGGGCAGCCGGCAGAGAGGTAAGCCACTGTGGGGCAGGGGACGGGACTGGAGAAGACCTGGCTGGTGGCTCCTACCCTGCGCTGGGTTCAGCAGCTAGTCCCAGCTGGGCTGGTGAGGACAGGACTTCCTCTCCCCCTGCACAGCATCTGGGGCCATGTCAGACCCACCCCCAGATTTCTCCCCAGGCTGTAGGAAGCTCTGCAAACTCCTCCCCCGCTTCCTGCACCCATTGCTCCTCAGCTGCAGGGGGAGGGATCACCGTACAGTGAATTGATACCCCATCCGCCCAACCCCTATGCATCCAGACCCCCTCCCACCCACCCCCCCCCCCCCCCCCTCCCCCCCCCCCCCCCCCCCGCACCCAGAACCCCCCCGATGAGCCCCACTCCCCCTGCACCTGGACCACCCCGACAAGCCACCCGCACCCGGATCGCCACCCTACCGAGCCCCAACCAGCTTCACATGGATCCCCACTCCACTGAGCTCCACTTCACCAGCAACTGGAACCCCCCCACTGAGCACCCCAGATCCCCCTGCTGAGCTCTATCCTCCCCACATCCAGACTCCCCCTCCCCGCTGAGCCCCAACCACCTTCACCTGGACCCTCCTGCAGAGTCCCATTACCATGGCACCCAGAACCCCACAACAAGCCCCTGTGCATCCAAATCCCCCCTGAACTCAGATCCCCTACTGAGATTGCATCCAGATTGCCCCACACAGAGCCCTCTCAACTCACACCTGGATCCCCCCACACTAAGCCCCTCCACACTTGGATCCTGCATTGCTGAGCCTGCCTGCCCACACCTGGTGCACCAGGCACGGAGGGGCAGGGCCCTGGAGTGTTTCTGGGGCAGGCCCAGTCTTTGTGCTATGTCAGGGTTGGATGCAGCCTCACCGCTGAATCCGTGTCCTGGGGGGTGGGAGGGGAACTGCACAGTGATCTCCCACCTCTATGCAGCCACTGACCTAAGCTCCCCAATGCCATGCTGAAGCCTCCACATTTATTTGACAAATAAATTTTGCAGAATTTTGCAATATTGTGCACATAATTTTTAATTTTTTGGCACAGAATGCCCTGAGGAGTATACATGCACAAGACAAACTCTTACAGTCTACTTATTACCTGACTCAAGAAATAGGATTACTCATATCTTATCATGCATAACAACCAGTACTGTTATTGGGTTAAAATAAACAGCTCCTCTCTAAATTCTGTTTTAGGTTGATCTGTCCAGAAGTTACAATTAAGAAACTTTTGTTTGTTTATATTTTTTTCCTTAACTTCTTGATCTGTCCCTAACTATTATCTTAAATACAAATATTCTCTTAAAGTGCCCTTTTAGGTGTCAACAAATGAAATAGATTATGATGCTCATTCTTCTCCAATATTAATAATTTAATTTCTGAAAAATTATGCTAAATTATGCTCCAAAGAGGGGCGAATATAAAGTTTTCAACTTTCTTTATGTTGGAGTAAAAAGTGTTTTTAAAGCTTCAGACAAAAATGTTTCATTCACACTGGGATGTTCTTTACCCACTTGAGTTCCTTAGGATAAAGACTGCATATATTCAGTGAATGCATATCCCTAAAGATAGATATTTTCTGCACATCTTCAGATTCTTTCTTATTAACAGAAAGGACTTTCTTTGCAGGGCCACTGACTTCCCAAAGAATGAGGTCATGGAATGCAGTATAATGTTAGAATATTTAAAAAAATCTAGTAATTACATTGAAAAGTACTTAGATATCTGAACTTAAGTGTTTCCCATGACACCGTACTATAAGTACAGAGTAACTAGGCCAGATTACATTGGATCCATGACAACCAATATGGCCACACATAGACAAATTTCACTACAAACTTAAGCAGCAGACACTAAAGTAAGCCTCTCTTGGCATTGTTAAGATGCACTGGAGATAATAGAAGAGATAAGGTGATTACAGTTTTCTATGACAAGAAACCAAACAAGCTCCCATCCATACTGGCTAGGAAGCAGTTTTAAATCACACCACACTTTCAGTAAATACCTTTTATCTCTCTCAGCAGCCAGGGATGCCAAATGGCAAGACCTAGACTAAAGGATTCCCAGGGGGAAAAGTAAGTTACAGTTCTGACCCCCATCATTTGTCCAATACCTTCACCTTGATCACCTTAATCAATTGATCCTTCAGCCCTCGTATAGATTGTGCTGATCACAACACGTCTTCCATTCTTCTCATATCCTGGCCTTCCTTTTCCATGTGCAGCCATGTCTTTTCACAATAAAATCTTCCCATCTCTTTGGAGGTCGGTCAAGTGGTCGTTTTAGTTGCCAAGTGGTACCCACGGGAACAGCTGCAGTCCATCGATTGTCAGTGAGCTTCGCTATATGCCCGGCCCATCGCATTTTACTATGCCTGCTCTCAACAACAATGTCCTACACTCCACATTGCTGCTGTCTGATCACTTCATTGGGAACTCGGTCACAGATTGAAATTCCCAGAATTCTTCTTTCCATCACCCTCTCCATGACAGACAGTTGCTGCTCCTCTGTCTTCGTCAGTACCCATGTTTCGCTGCCGTACAACATTGCTGGCAGTACTGTTGAGTTGAAGAGGTTGGCACGTGTTGCCTTGTTGATTTTTCCTTGGAGGACATCCTTGAGAGAATTGAATGTGCACCAACTTGCTTGCTTTCTTTGCGAGAGTTCACCTTCCTGATCATGCCGCATGTTAATTTCTTGGCCTAAATAGACTTATTGCTCAACTTCTTCTATTTGTTCTCCCTTGCCTGTTATTTGGGCTTTTGGTAAGGTGTCAGACCACATAAATTTCGTTTTGGAGCAGTTAATTTTCAGTCCGACTTGGCTGCTTTTTGGGTTGAGTTCTCGCGGCATTTTCTGTAGTTTGATAGCATTTTCGGCGATCAACACAATATCATCCGTGAATCTGAGATGGTTTAACTGCTCTCCGTTGATGTTGATTCCACCCTTCCAATTTATCTGCCTCATTACCATTTTGAGGCAGGCTGTGAAGAGTTTCGGTGAAACTGTCTCCTTGTTTCACACCTTTCTTAACTGGGATGCAAAGGGGAGTATCAAACAAGGTTATATCTGTTGTGCAGTCAGAATTTGCTTCCTTTAATAGTTTGATATCGTTTGTGTCAATGTGCTTTCAACATTGCATTGATCTCTGTACTGTCGAACGCTTTTTCATAGTCGATGAAGGCAATACATAAAGGGAATTTGTATTCCCGTGAGAGTTCCAATAGCTGGTTTATAGTGAAAATATGGTCCATTGTACTGAAATTCCTTCAAAAGCCTGCCTGCTCTCTTGGCTGCTGCTTGTCCAGACTCTGTGAGAGTCGGTTTGTTATTATTTTGGTGAACAGCTTATAGACATGTGAGAGCAGGCATATTGAACAATAGTTGTTTAGATCTTCACGGTCGCCCTTCTTGTACAGCAGAATGGTGTTGGACTCCTTCCAGCTAGATGGTATCTTCTGCATTTCCAAGTAACAGCTAAACCTCTGAGCAAAGGTTTCCCAGAGGTCTTGGCCTCCAGCTCTTATTTCGATTGTCAGTCCATCTTTACCTGGGGCTTTTCCTTCCTTCATTTTGTGAACTGCATGTTGAACTTCTCTGACAAGGACTGGGAGTACATGCTCATTGGTCTATTGAAGTGTTGGTTACTGGGACATTTATCTGAGACGTGAACAGTTCGGTGTAGAAATCTTTGCAGACCACTTCCATCCCTGTTCTGTCAATTACTGGTTTTCTGTCCCTGTTCTTCAACACCATTATTGTTGATCTGTACAGTGTCAATTCCCTTTTGCATTTTTTGAGGCTTCTGTGATCTTCAGCCATCTTTAAGAGCCTTTCATTTTGGTACTTCTCGAAGTCCTCCTTTAGTCGTCTTCTTATCAACTTGCAGAGGAGGGAGTAATCAAATTTGTCACCGTCATTTTGCTTCATATTCCTCTGCTTCTCTAGCAAGTTCCGTGTTTCCTCTGAGATTCTTCCCTTCGCTCTTTTCAGTCTTTCTTTCTTGGCTAATTTCACACATTGCCTCAACTTATCAGTGAAGTTTTTATAATCCTCATCACCATTATCTATAAGACTCCAGTCTTCTTTAGAAATGTTCGCTTTCAAGATTGCCTTGTCAAATATTTTTGGCCGCTGTCTCTGATTTGCCATCTGTAGTGCTTTCTTCTCCACTTTTTCATTGAAGTTGAGCCGTGCTCTGAGCAAGTGATGGTCACTACCGGTGTTAAATGATGGCACTACTGAGATGTCTTGTATAATGCGCCACTTATTGATCAGAATATAATCAATCTTGTTCTTGTTCTTCGCATTGGGCACGATTCATGTCCACCTCCTCTTGGCCTTCTTCTAGGTGTTACCAATGAACATTTCTTTAGTCTCCGCCAGAGTTGCCAGTCGCTTTTCTCGTGGATTCTGTTCACCAGTGCCATACCTTCCAATTAATTTTTCACCTTCTTTCCCTCTTCCAGCTTTGGCATTGAAATCTCCCTTCGCAATCGTATATGTGGATTTTTGAGCGAGGGTTTCCTCGAGCTCCTGGTAGAATTCTTCCACATCGGCATCTTCGCTTGTGCTTGTGGGAGCATAATTCTGAATAATCTTGAGGGTGCTGTTCTTGTTCAGTTGGAGGTGTGGCACTCCAATGCATGATGACTTGAACTTGCTGGAGATGATTTTTGAAGACCATTCCTTGTTGGTGATGAAGCCGATTCCTCCAACGGTTCTTGCGCCTTCTCCTTTTCCCAACTTGATGGTACTTTTTTCTCTCCACTTCACTTCCATCTCCTTTCTTCATTGTGTTTCGCAGAGACCAAGGTTTCCTCAGGCTGTCCTTGCCTTCTCCTCCATTAGATGGTTGATCGAATTGCCTCTCATCAGTGTCCTGCAGTTATAGGTGCACACTGAAAGGGCAGTCCTTTTTCTGGCTCCTGAGATTCTTAACAGCCTCTCATCGACTGAACTCCCGACTACTGTCATAAAACGGATCAAGGCGCGCACGGGGAGCTGGGACCCATTTATTCATGTTGTTTTAGCCATTTCTTCATCCACCCACTGGCTATGCTGTCAGTGGTGAGTTTACCTCCTCAACTTAGCTAGCACCCAACCTCAAGAAGGAGGACAGATGTCCTCTCCCTGGGTTGTTAGTCTGACACCTTAATAGCATGGTTGAACCTACTGAAGAATACACTCCGCTATCCTCTCTGTCAGACAAGCCAGGGTCACTGCTGCGCCACTTTGAGGCATTAAGGTAGGATTTTGCAGCAGTGTCCAGTACCACTTCAATGTAATTATTGAGCAGCAAATCCAAACTGGATGGTCAGTGTAACTACACTGGTCGGACAGTAGGTGATTGCAAATGTACTTTTACCTAAAAAAATCTAAGTTCAAATGCTGTTTAGTTCACAGATGAAAACAGGCCTTCGCCTTTAATGAACATTTCTCCGCCTAACTACAATTTGGAATAATTAAAGTAGGCATGATTGGCAGCTCCTACTCAGGAGAGGGTTAAGGTTTGAAAATTGAGGGTATTGACGAGCAGGACAGAGCTGTATCAGCAGAACTCTGTCGGGAAGCTGAAAAAAGCTGCTGCGTCTGCTTGAATGAAGATCCATGATCAATGTAAGACTACAAGCCATATCAGTAAATGATCCCAGTTTGCTAATATGAAGTCCAGTCCTGCACATAAATTCAAAAAGTGAAACCACTCAAGGTCATAAGCACTATGCCAAGTCTGTTCCAACTCCAGTCTTGTATACTTCTCTAGCAGACATCTTGAAACCTATGAAAACATAAATGGTGTTCATGCTTGGGTAATGCTTGAAGGTTCCAATAATGATGAGTCCATTTGGCATTCATGTGGCTGTCATGTGTTCTTTCATAGACCTCTATTTTAAGTTGGCAAGTGCTAAGAATGACTAAATGGACACTTGAAGTATTGCTAAGCTTGGCACTTTCAGATGATAGATCAACCTGTACTCACACCCTTCTGCACGCTTTCTGCCAGGAGAAAGGGTGTCTAAGACTGAATGCCAGTCAGTTGATACATTAACACCCATTAAGATGTTTTAGGTGTTACATGTATCCACTAGCAACCTCATTTGGCTACAAATCACTACAAATCATTTTATGTTTAAAAACTATTTACTTTGAAGGAATATCAAATTTAAAAAAATATTAGAGGTGTCAATATGCAGCACAGAGTGACACAGAAAATTCCTTAGCTCTTCTAGACAATTTGTTTGTTAGTGCCTGGCAAACATTCATTCTCTCACTAAAATAGTTTTTAACAACTAAGGTTGTGACTGTGCTATTTCTGAGCATATAAAGTGCTATTTCTGAGCATATAAACACAACACTGCATTACCAATTTCTAACATATTGCTTTTTTAAAGTGCTTTGAGAAGCATAGAGTATGAAAGGCACTCTACAAAGACAAATTCGGGAGAGATTTTTTCAAGCACGTTATTGAAAATCTTTGTCTTTGAAATTCTCCCCTTTTATTCCATTCTATTGATACACTGATTATCAAATATGATGATAAGCTTTGTTATCTCTCTTTCAGATGCAGTGTTCACAAATGGCCAAGGACCAGACTATTTATTTGTTGGAAACATCGTTTATACAGTAAGTTCTTAGCATTTATATCTTAGCAATTTTGCTGAATAGTAGAGTTGCTTCCAATCAGACACTGGTATACATCAGTAGGTGTATGAGTGAGATTAGAATTACACCGTGTGTGTGTGTGTCTGTGTGTGTGTCTGTGTGTGTGTATAAATGTTTTGTCTTTTCTTTTTCATTCCCTCTTTCAGAAATTTACTGAACAATATTGTGTAAAAATTATGCTTTTAGTTCTGTTAGGTGCCCAGAGGCCTTTGGGGATGGACAGCATATAAATAAAAGTATTGTTATTTTTAGAAGGGGGAAAGTTAAACAGCTAGGTGTGGGATATATATGCTGAATATAATATATTTCCTCCGTTTCTTTCTTTCCACAGTATGTTGTGGTTACTGTTTGTTTGAAAGCTGGTTTAGAGACCACAGCATGGACTAAAGTAAGTGGTCCTCAATCTTTTTTGGTATCTTTCTTGCCCACATCTCTCTTCATATTTTATGTTTTATATTTTAATATAGAAATTTACAATTTTTTGTATTTAGGTTTGAAGTGGAGGTAGTGTAGTTGTATTTTCATCTGGGGTACAATCATCTGGATTTTCCTTGCTTTTCACTTCATAGAGTATGTTTGTATTAGGGGATAACTGCAGATGACAGAGCATAATTAGGGCCCTACCAAATTCATGGCTGTGAAAAACGTGTCACAGACGGTGAAATCTGGTTTCCCCCCATGAAATCTGTATAGTAGATTTCATGGGGGGAGACCAGCGTTTCTCAAATTGGGGGTCCACCCAAAAGGGAGTTGCAGGGGGGGTCACAAGGTTATTTTAGGGGGGGGTCGCGGTATTGCCACCCTTACGTCTGCACTGCCTTCAGAGCTTGGCAGCCGGAGAGCGGTGACTGTTGGCCGGGCATCCAGCTCTGAAGGCAGCTCCCCGCCAGCAGCGGCACAGAAGTAAGGGTAGCAATACCACAACCCCCCCACCCTCCACAATAACCTTGTGACCCCTCCATAACTCTGTTTTGCGCCAGGACCCCTACAGTTACAGCACCATGAAATTTCAGATTTAAATAGCTGAAATCATGAAATTTACTATACCAGACCCCCGCTAGAATGTGGGGTTTTGGATCCATGCGCGGTCCCGCGTTAACGTGGGGACCTCGTTATAGTGGGGACCGCGTTACCATGGATTCCAATGAAGGTAATTAAATTTGGGATCCATGCGCAGTCCCACGCTATAACCGAATTCGCGCTATAGAGACACGCGTTCTAGCGAGGGTCTGCTGTATTTCAAAAATCCTATGGCCATGAAATTGACCTAAATGGAGCGTGAATTTGGTAGGGCCCTAAGCATAATATAATGACAAGGACGTGGCATCAAAACTTTGAAGTGGAAAAAGAGAAACATTTTTATTAGCCTGGCTCCTGTAAACAGTCTAAATTAATATATTGAGTATGGCCATCATTGGAGTAACTCCATTAAAGTCAGTGAATTTGGCCTGTAATCTACATCTTTTCCATTATCTGATCCACTACATAGCCACTTTGGAAGTAATACATGCAGTACCAAACAAAAGGTGTCCAGCAACCAATAGGTAATTAGGGCTTGACCTCCACTGACTTCAGTTGGCTTTGTGCCAGACCCTTTTTTTGGGCAATTCTTTATTTTTCAAGTACACTGAGTTTTTTATATACTAGTGCTCTCTTTGTGTTTTCAAATATTGTTGCATTTTCTGAACCACAGAATTGATTAGATGTGGGGATAATTGAAAACCGTACATATTCTCTGACCCTCAGATTCATGAGTCATTCACAGCAATGATTGGCTATTACTTGCTGTCCAATAGGTAGGCATACCATTGGTGGCAGAATCTAGGGTAATAGCATCCAAGAAATCCAGTGATTTTCTCTCTTGATGCCTCCTTAACAGAATTTTTTCAGAAATATTAACATCTAAATTTTCCAAAATGACCAGTGGTTTTTGGGTGCTTCAATTTTTAGGCACCCAATTTGAGACATCTTATAGGAGTTTGAGGTGTCTTAAGTGGGGCATATAAGAATCAAGGCATCCAAAATCACTAATCACTTAAAAATGTAGGCCACGGAGTACTCTGCAGGCTATATATGATTCAGCTGCAAATAACTTTCTTTTTGTAACTGTTAACTATACCAAACTCTTTGGAACAGGGACTATTATGTCTGTAAAGTTCCTCACAAATCATTTATTCTTATTTGCGTAGTAACAATAAAGGTTTAACCCGGTGGTATTACTAGTATAAATGGAGTGAGGTGGTCTAGTGTTCTGAGCACAAGCAGGTGATCCAGGGGCTCTTGCATTCATATCCCATCGGACCCCACTGACTTCCCTTAATGGACTTGGCCAAGTCCTTTAATCTCACTGCCTCCGCTCCTCCAGCTTTAAAATGTAACAATACTTACTTAGATACCTCACAGAGGAGTCGTGAGGATTAGTTAGTTAATGTTTGTACAACATTTTGAAGATGAAAAAGTGGATCATTTTATTTGACTTTATTATTTTGAATGTGGTGCCTCATTCCCTCATCTAAAAAATATAAAAGAACATAAGTGCTATTTTTGTTGCTGTTTGTTCATAGATTTTTTTTTAATGTGTAGTTCAGTGCCATTTTAAAATGTAAAACATTTATTAAAAACAAATGAACACCACACACACTCTAAGTGGATGCATCCAAATCTGCTTCCTAGACATATGGGGCCTCTTCAAATCCTGTAACATTCAGAATAATTTGATGTTTCTTATCCCTCTTCCCTGAATAATTATCCCCATGTGACTGAAAAGACACCAATTACTGACCCTGCTGCTTTCTGAATTTAGCCAAAAAGGCACTTATACTGGTCAATAAATCCCTATGTTTTTTGATACTAGAATTTTATTAATAAAATGTCAGCATGTGCAAAAAATCTTCCCTGTCAGCAGGACATGTTTTTTTTTTCCTCCTTTCTTTTATATATTAGTTGCATGAGTTTTTCTGATATAAAAATAATGTAAAGAAAAGTTCCTCCTAATTCCTCACTCACTGACTTGGGCCCTGTGGTGATTTGCTTCTCCTTGGGGGCCTTGTGTTGGTAACACTTATTGTTTCAGCTGTGAGTGAATCAATGCATGGAGAACATTCGTATTACTTGAAGAGTATTAAATGTATGACTGAGAGCCTCTTCTCCATCATCGAGTGGATTGGTTACATGCAGGTTTATTCTCAAGAGTGAGAGATACACTTGGCCACATGAGAGAATGTGATAGGTATAACTGAAAGCTCTAAATATAGATCTGACACAGATGCACAGCAGATCCTATCCTGACTTATCCAGTAAGCAGGGTGGAGGGAGTGGTCTGACCAATGGTCGTTCCATGACGTACAGCTAAAACTTTAGAGTGGCACAGTTCAGAATGACTTACTGCTGTACATAGTTTATATGTAGCACGGCAACATGCTCTTCACAACTAACACTTATAGTAGCTCAGCTTCCTGCCTCAGAAGAGCTTACAAATTAATTAAAATAGCTAGGGTACACAGAGCAGCAAGAGAAAACTGGAGACACTATGGGCCTGATCTTCCTTTGACTTACATTGATTTTATACCTTCAACAGTTACTTCTGGTTTACACCTATTACATCAGAATAATCAGCCAGTTCATTTTAGTGTGAAATCAACAATGCGAGACAACCCAAATTAAGTGTTTAAGGAGGAATTTCAAGCAGGAGAGGGAGGGCACATGGCATACAGGAAGTAAGAGGCTGTTCCAAGCCTAGGGATCATGAAAGAAGGCACATGGCTGAAAGCTGGAAAAGGACACGTATGAGGTGTTGGGAGAAGCCATTAACGTGACCATAAGAAGAAAGATGGGGAGGACACGAGAGAAGAGATGTAAGTAGGGGCAGCATCAGAGCATGATGAAAGTGAGGCTGAAGAGCTTAAAGCTGTTGTAGAATTAGAGAAGCATCTAGTGAAGGGTTTGCAGAGAGGGGCAATGTGGTTGGAGCAAGGGGAGAGGAAGATGCGCTTTCACCCTCATTCTCCATAAATACACCTGTTAAAAAGCAAAAAAAGCCCTTACAGATCTTCCTCCGCTTATTTTTGTCACTTTTAATCTTAGTGACTCTAACAACTTGTAGCAAAAGCTTCAACCTGAACAGTGCTGAGTCTGCTGGCTTATTGCCTGAAATTGCTGCAGCTCAGAGGGAGCAATAATCTGCTCTGAAAATGATTTTTTGCAGGGTTTTTTCTCATGTAATTCTATTTTTTCTTTAAATATGAATTCCTGCAGCAGCTCCACAAGAGCTGAATGCTGGGAGGTGTTCAGCGCCCTCAGCTACCACAGAAGTCTCTGATTCAGGAGAGCACTTAAGTATGTGCTTAAGTCCATCCCTATTTAGGAAAGGACCTAAGCATGTGTTTTAAGTGCTTTTCTCAATCAGAACTAAAGTCAGTGGGAGATGATGACACTAACGCCTTGTGAGATTGAGCCCATAGTGAGCACAGAAACAAGCTGCCCCTGTATTATTTACATTCATTTAAAATAAAGTAAACATTAAAAACTGTAAGAAAAACTTTTAAAATAGTAACTAAAATGAGTTGTTTTTTACAAGCAGCCTGTTCAGGAGGCAGTATGTCTAAGCAAATAAATCATTCCAGCTTTCTGCCTCATATTTTGCCATCTATAAAATTAAGGCACTAATATTTCCAGATCACCCCATCAGGCTGTTTTGAGGATTAATAAGTTCATTTTATAAAGCAACTTTAACACACTTAACTATGTAAATGCTAAGTGTTGTTAGCAGTAAGATTATTACTATTAAAATTATTTCTTTAAAAATTTTGGTCTGGTATGTATTCTAAATATTTTTTACTTATTTTTTTAACCACCTACAAGCTGTCAAAATAAATATGCATGAGAATGCAAACTGGTACAATAGGACCTTGTTAAATGACCTGATGGTCCATCATATTTTTCTCCAGAAAGGTCATCAGCATTCACCTTTCAGAATGTGGATTAGTAAGATTCTCTCAACACACAATCAGAAAGTTCAATATATGTCTGTGATCAGCATTTAAAATATGTATTTATTATTAAGAACTATACCCTGCATCTGTCGTGCTTTTCATCCAGGATCTCAAAGCACTTTACTAGCATTAATTAAGCCTTACAGTACCCATGCAAAGCAGGTATTATTTTACTTGTTTGACAGATGAGTAAATTGCAGCTCTGGACGTTGAAGTGATTTGCCACCTAGAAAAATCAGTGACAGTTTCAGGCACAGAATCTTGGCGTCCTGGCTTATAGTTCCCCTGCTCTATCTGCTAGATAACACTCTCTCCTTTTTTTGAAATGCAATAACACATGACAGTGCGTGTGAGCCCAAATAAAATGGCATTCACTTCTTCAGTATTAAAGGTAACCTCAGCTTTCCATCTTAAGTCTCTAAAACCCTCCTTTGGCAATAGTGTATATGTACAGTCATTTATGACATCACACTGTTTGTATTCAACTTATGCAGTACATCTCCTTGATCACTTTGGTATTATGTTGCTTCCTTTTCCCTCATCCATTTCTTTTAGTTGTTTAGACTGTAGACTCTTCGGGGCATGGATTGTCTTCCATATCCATAAATCACCTAGCACATATTTAAAAAATAATCAGTACATAATAGTGATTATTCTTGTAGTCGTTGTGTATAACACACTATTAGCTTCTTCCAGTAATGGCTATGTTAGTGTTGCACGTGGCTTATATGCATACATGCAATGGCATAATAGAACTTTTGTGGGTGTGATCTCTAACTCATACCTTTGAAAACGTCCACGTTGGTGCCTCACGTAACCCAGTATGAGTAAAATGGGAACCAGGAGTCAGAGGGCACCTCAGAGTTCTAAGGAAAATCTGATGAGTTTCTGAGGCTACAAGTAAGATAGACTAGCTGAAAAGGTTGTCTGTGTCATGGAGAAAAGATTAAAGAGGGGAGCTGTCTGTGCTGTTTAAACCAGTCTGTGCCACTGGCCTAAAACCAACTGCAGTAGACAGCTGTGAGTTGAGAGTGACAGAGATCTGGACAGAAAAAGATTCCTAGGAGAAAAATAATAATGTGGGCATTATTAAGTGGAAAGAGAGCTGTACTGTGTTCTCTTTTGTCACCTCTACAGTTTAGCCACCTGGCCGTTTGGGGAAGCATGCTGCTCTGGTTGGTGTTCTTCGGAGTCTACTCGGCCATCTGGCCCACCATTCCCATTGCACCAGACATGCTTGGACAGGTTAGTTTTCATGCTTGGATATGGGAAAGATTGGTGAGTGTGCTTTCTGACTGCAGCCCTTTGTCTTCAGTGCCTTGGGAAAGTAATATTACCTGCATTGCTCATACAGCAACAGGATGGTGCCTGTAAAGGAAATGCCTTCAGTGAGTGCACCTAAGCTTTAGTTAAAACCTCCCTGCACCCCGCAAGTGTTAAAGTTTTACAATAGTAATTAAAACCAATTAGCTTGGTTCTCAAAGTTATTCACAGTGTAAGTCACTGTATGTGCTGTAGATAGTCTATGGAGTTTTCCCATTGATTTGGGTGGGAATGGACCTAGGCTCTTCATTAATAATGGCTTTGGGAGATTTTCTTGGTAACAAAGGTTTGACAAAATGCCAGACAAAAATTTGACATTTTAAAACTTTGGGTTGTGTGTTTCCTCTGTTCGTATACTCAGTTTTCTGCTACTCCTTTCTCCTAACTTGTTAAAAGAAAACAGAGAATGTACCTGAAAACAACTTATGGGATGGTCAGAAATAGAAGGGAAGCTTATACGTTATAGGTCCCCTGACAATGTTAGTGGAGTTCTGGATTTGTTCCTTCATTGTCAGTTGTTGCAGGTGGTGAAATTCACCCTGTCATTATTTTAACCAGTGGTGAACAGAGAGAATAATGAGCCTGTCAAAACTCCTTCAATGAGAGTATTTCGAATAGGAGAGTCCTCGGAAATGAGGGGCTAGCAAATATACCATAAAATACTACTCCAAGCAAACTCCAATGTTGTCGCAGTAAGTTACTGGAAAAGATACTCTTACAGCAAGTTTGGAGTTACCTTTAAAGATGCTTTTGTTTATAGAGAAGAGGAAAAGGCAAAATGAGAATGGTTATAATAGTGGACCTAAGCAAATTAATTTTTATACATTGTCATCTTTGCACATTAGAAACACAAAGCATCCGTGAACTTAATTAATTATTTATAAGGTTACTTTTCACATAATTTCATATAGTGGTTGGCATCCTTTCGTCTGCGAGAGACGGTGGGAATTGCAACCTATGATGTAGTAATTCTGGCATCATTCTGCTTCAGCATGGTTCTGGTCTAATAAATATTTCATTAGATTGTGGTACAATGCAGAGGATAATGGAGATTTTAGTAGATTATCATGGACAGCTTTCTAAAGCAAGGAGAGAGAATGACAGCTGACAGGATGGGATCAGCCATCATATGACTGGCAGAGACAAACACCAAATTCCTTTGATAGTATTTCATAATGTCCTCAGTGTGTTTCACAGTGCACATTTGCATCACCAACTCTAATTCACATTTCCATAAATTAGGCTGAAATTTGATTAAGTCTCATACCCAACCATGAATCGGTTTTGCAATCTATAACAGCAGACTCTTAATGTCGCTATTAATGCACCAGCATGTTTAATGCACAAGTGTCAAGGTAAACTAGTCCCACATATTAGAAGGTTCAGACTATAAAGTTCAGTTCCAGAATGCAGTGTTTTTTAGAACTTTTTTTATTGCAATAACCCCCCAAAAAAAAAAAAGCACCATGACTGGAGTGGATGTTAACCACAATGTAACCCACAGGTCCCAGAGCAAAGTAACTGATGTTAAATAGCATTTTATTTTTGCTTAAATACTTTATAGAAAATGTTTTTCTACTTAAGCCATGTTATTTTATACTCTTTGGTTTTCCAGAACAAACGATGTCTTGAGATATGACATTAATATCTTGCTGAGGGTAAAACAATACTTATTCTTGTGGAGAACACAACATTTACGTTCTGAGTGATTGAGTGAGATCATTTATGTAGTCCAATACTTGCATAGCTGTTCCTGGATCAGTAATCACTATTGAAGACATTATGGAGTTGTTCATCATCTTAGCAAAAGTACAAGAGCCTTTGGGGGAAAGGGAGCCTTATGTAATATAATATATGGTTTCAGCATAAACATTAGTTTAAACAGTACCACTGTGTTGTAGTGTTATATTTTTGCTCCCTAGTTTGTATGCTTTGAGGGGAGGAGAGGGGAAAAAAGAGAAGTTTTTTACCTCTTGAAAATGATGGAAGATCCCTAAGATGGAGGAAGCTTCTGTAGAACTTCCATTAACTTGCACAGAGGCTCTCGAGAAATAATTTGCTGCACAATACCAAACCATGGTCAAATGAGCAGGGACCACACTAGGCTACAGTCTGTAAAATGAATTGCCTCTCTTCTTCCAGGCTATTTAAAATGTTCCTTTATTCCATCTCTTTTCCTTTTTGCAATTGTAAGTAATCAAGATTTGTTAAAAGCAAAGTGGGGACAGTGAAGAGTTTATAGTTTGTTTTTAAATCTCTCTTTCATTAGAGTGTTTCTAGTTGTTTAAATAAATTAATTTTCAAAATGTATTAAACACTTCTACTACACAAAATACTATAGCACTTAAAAGCAACCTAGTTCCTTATGACTATAATGCTTAGTTAGTGTCTATAACAACCAGCACACCCCATCATGAGTCAAAAATATGATGTGTAAAGCATTTTATTCCATCTATTCACCAAATGTCTGCATGGAGAGTCTCAGATATTTAAGCATCTGAAAAGATGTATTGTTTCTGCTGGGGTTTATTAAACTATTGAGTGAGTATTTCTTTCTCTTGTACATTACGTTTGGAGCATTCGTACATGGGGAAAAAATGCAGGTTTTTCCTTCAGGGCAAAAGGGAAGTAACTACTGAATTAAAGAGTTATTCTCTACTGTCAGAGACAACATATTTCTTTTGTTTCACTTAATGCATTTCATAATACAACAAATGAAACATAGTGCTAATAAGACAAAGCAGTGATAAAATCCCAGTGTAACCTAATGGAAATTTTACAATAATAAAAGAGATTTGACACACTGGAAATTAAGTAGAAAAACTTTGGTAGCTTTTTGGTGGTCTTTTTTTAAACCCATGCATTCGTTCCCTAACAGTACTAGAAGTAGGAGTTGAAGTCTACACCTCCAGAAGGCTTTAAAATTATCTATTACAGGGGTGTCCTCAGCCTGGTCCCCTTGGTTTCTTGAGCCTCTTTGGGTGTTTTGTTTGGTTGTTTTTCACATAGGAGGTAGTATTGAGGAAAGAAAGGAATCTACAATCCTTGCCTCTGCATGGTCTGAGTTGTGCACATGTGCCAGTTTGGACTAGCTCTTTTTTGAATGAAAATTTCTGCAAACAGAGCATACTGCACACACTGGGCACCAGTCTGATCCCTTCTCCCTGTTAGTATGTGGAACTCATTGCCTCAAGATATTATTGAACCCAGTAGCTTTGTACATCAATATATAACTATGTATATTATAAGGTACATAATATGGACAAGATGGTGCAATTAGGAAATGTCTGTTACTGCTACCCCAGTGAGAGGCTGCTTCTCTTCTAATGAACTCCTTTTTGAGCTGCAGCTAATTACCCTCTGTGTGGCCCGCCAGCTCTGTTGGTCAGAGCATCAGGGTTCAGGGCCATAGTTTTGCCTATTTCCTACCCCTTTTGGGGTGCATGGTACTGTAAAAGGAATAGGGATGGGCTACAATTCTGCCTGTCCCTTACCTGGGCCACATAAATGGGGTTTCTGGGGTCGGGGGACTGTTTTTGTCCTCCTCTCCTCATTGAGTGCCAGACACAAAGTCAAGGCAGGCTTTAGCCCTATCTAAATTAGAATAACATGTGTGGTTGCACTCACTAGAATAAAAATATATTGAGCCTCGGGTCTTAATCTGAATACCAGCTGGGCTCAAGAAGATTCCCTCTACCCTCTCTTCCCATGTTGTTATATTGTATTGTTAAATGCTTTATGGGAGGTTTATGCTTTTCTCTGGAGCATCTGGAATTAGCCATTGGTAGAGACAGGATACCACTGATCTCCTCCAATTTGACAGTTCCTGTTCCCCCCCCCCCTCTCTATATAAGCATGTTATGTTGGTCTTTGCCTCATTAATTTTGTTCCGAAGGCTCAAAGGTGATTTGTATCATACATAAACTTCATTGTCCATTTTTAGTCTTGTTTTTTCTTTAAAAAATAAAATAAAATAAAATAAAATAAAAAATTCCTGTGCTGTGGTTAGTCTGACGTGTTAGGCATTTAGTGGTGGTGAGGTTTTGTTTCGGGTTTTTTGCTGGGTGACATGTTGTATGTAGTCATGTTCCAGACTTATGATTTAAGTATTGTTTTGGCCACAATATTTTGATTACAGATCAGCATTACTAATGTCTTTCACATTTGAGGCTTTTTGCCTTCCCAATGGTTGAAAGAGCCAGAGTTGGCACTGTACCTTCAAGGTTTTTTTGTGTAAATCTGCTTCTAGCTTCTAATACTTCTCTTGCCTCTTCTTAGTTTCTTCTTACCTTTTCTTTTGTCAAGATGAGAATCACTGATATCTTAACCAAAATGTTTTTTTTTAAACCATCAGCCCTAAATTTGGTTAATGGAAACAGCAAAAGATCAGGGCCACTCCAGTGAACTTTCTGCGTGAATTTTGAGAGATGATTTCTAGCTCTTCCAGCCAATGGCAAGCTTTATTTTCTTTCCTGACGCTGTGCTTTCAGTGGGACACTTCTTGGGCTGAGTTGAGGACGGTCCTACGTCAAAAATGTCTATCAGATAGCTTCTTGGTTCATATGTAGTGCTTTCAGAAAGAGTTTAAGGATAGTGTCTGATACTGGGTGCTCCATTCACTGCTGGTCTGGCGCCTCCTCCTGGCCATTCCGGGGATTAGCTCATCAGGTCAACACCCCTTCCCCCAGTTGCATGTCATCACTTGGTCTGTCTCTCTGGTCTGTAGCCCCTCCTCAGTCCAGGAACCGCAGCCTCCTCTTCATGACTCAGTCCTCTGGCCAGGTCACTTAGCATTTCCCCCTTCCAGACAGTCTTCCTATTCACTGCCTCAGGTGCCACTCTGTCAGTGGCTGGTAGGAGAACCCGCGCCCACCCTCTTCTCTGGGTTCCAGTCCATAGAACCTCAACCCAGCAGTTCTGGACTTTACTCTTCCAGCCTCACTGCTCCTTCCCTGGACTGCTTCCTACTCTTCTAGTACCTTCCTAGAGGAGGGGGTACCAGCTCCAAACCCTCCTCCCTCTTCCCAGGGAGTGACTACCCTTTTCCAGCAGCAACCCCTGTCTGTTACCAGCATCCTGGCTTTCTAGGCAGTGGTGGATTAGCCACTGGACCAATGGGGCCCATGCCCAGAGATTCCAGCCAACGGAAAAAATCTGCCGTTGGGCAGTGGAAGCCCTGAGCTCCAGCCACTGGGCAGGCGGGGCGGGGGAAGCCCCCACACCCCGACCCCACTCTCCGGCAGCAGCACCAGGCGGGCAAGGCGGGGAAAGCCCCAGCAGTCCCAAACCCCATCCCCAGAAGAATCTGTGGCATGGGGGGAAACCCCCCCCCAGCGGCCCCTGACTCTGGCAGAAGCCATGGGATGGGAGAAGCTCCCCTCCCCCCCCCGCGCCCTCAGTGCCGCCTGAGTCTGTCTCCAGGAGAAGCTGCGGGGCGGCAGGGGAAGCCCCCGACCCCATTCTCCAACAGAAGTGCTGGGCGGGTGGGTCGGGGGAAGCCCCAGCACCCAGACTCCCGCTGCGACCCTGGAACTGGAGGAGCTCTCGCTCCCCACTGCACCCCAGGCCCATGGCGGAGGGACAGAGCTTCTCTGGTCTTGGGGCCACAGTGTGGGGGGGCAGAAAGGAGCAAAAGCGGTTGTAGGGGGAGGAAAAATAGGGGCAGACCCTGGGTGGAACAGGGGTGGGCCCTGGGGAAGGGGCAGAAAGGAGCAAAAGGAGTTGTAGGGGGAGGAAAAATAGGGGCAGACCCTGGGTGGAACAGGGGTGGGCCCTGGGGAAGGGGCAGAAAGGGGTGGGTCTGTGGGCAGGGCCGCAGGCAAAAGGTGTGGAACGGGGCGGGGCCACAGGCAGAAGGAGTGGGGAGGGGCCCCCTACTTGTTCTGGCCCAGGGCCCCAGGCAGCTTCTTTTCCTTTCTTGTTCATGTTCTCTGAGCATGATGTACCTACCCCCAGCTCTTCCGTTAGTCCTCTTAACTTTTGTCCCCCTCAAAAAAATGGTTTGGCT